AGGGAGAGAGGGAGGGAGGGAGAGCAAATGCGCAAAGAGGGCGCCCCCTAACGTTGAAATGATGGTAGTACATGTAGGTTGAGGAGCTTCTTTTTTCTCAGGCTGTGTGGTTAGAGTGAAATGTACCCAGTGGTGTGGTGGTGTCTGGCTAAGTGGGTACACTCTTTAATTTGTGCTCCCCCCAAAATATTTTAAACACCATGTATTATAATTATTATAATTATTATATTTAGTTCACCCAAAAATATGGGCCAGTACAGTGCCGGAGTTGGACCGGAAAAAAAGGTGCCAGCACCCTAATGCACCACAGCCCTAACCCTGAACACAACATAACCTCTAATGTTTTGCTGTTTTTTTTTAATTTATTATAACACTGTGGTTATGTGTTTACATGCGTTTAGAAGTACCTCACCAGCATTTTGGCAAAAACAACTTGCTACAGGGGTTTGGAGGGGTATCAAAGCATCAAAGTACTTGTGTTTAAGCACATATTTTATTGTATATCCCTTGGAAAAAACACTGAGCTCAAGACATCAGAGGTGGCAGTACTCAGTAAGAAGTAAGGGTACTCAGGTGGACATAAATCATTCATACCAGTAGTATTTGCACACTGTCGTTTCACCTCTGCTGCTGGCCTTCAGGGAGGATAGATCCTTATGTAACTAACATTAGACATGGGAGAGGTGCAGATTTTGCAGTAAATACTGGCCCAGAGACGGGTGATACGACGACATAATTATGCATTTTGAGTTCAGGATTCCTTTTTCCACCCACTCATGAATAATGGAACAACTATGTCATGCCTTCGCCATCCGAGGGGGGAAGAAATCAGCTTGCAGAACACCACAGAATACCCTGGGGTAGATCCTTGCTGCAGAAGCCCCGGGTTTGATTCCAACCTGCAGCCTTTTGTTGCATGTCATCTCCTTTCTCTCTCCATCTCCCCTTTACTGTCAAGCTTCATCTGTCTTATCTAATAAAGGCATAAAAACCTAGAATATATTTTAGTGGATACTCTATACCATCATTGAATTAACGCCTTATAATCCTGTGCCTTTTTGGTAAGGATATATATACATATATACATATAACACTGCAAATAATGTGGTTTTATTCACACTGGATGCCTAAACAAACCAATGCCTAAAAGTATTGCAACATGCGTCCCAATTGTTCTCCACTGTTCGGAGTACAAAATGGTATCAAATTCTACTTTACTTAACCTATACAGCTATATACGGTATCTAAATATAGCATAACCTGGACCCTTGTCATTATTTATCAAGTAAAAATGCCAAAAAAGTGGTCAGACATATAACAGAGGTACTGTATAAAAACAGGAAAAATAAGGCATGCTCACATTTAAAGGACCTGTTTGTAGGATTTAGTGTCATCTTAGTGGTGAAGTTGCAGATTGCAACCATTTGAATACAGCTCGGCCAAAACTAAGGTGGCTGTGACACTCGAGCCAGTGTTTGTCCGTTCTGAGCTACTGTAGAAACATAGTTCATGATTCCTATTTTCAGGTGATTATACACTAATGAAAACATATCTATGAATATTACATTCAATTTCTACCAAATGTTACACACTGGACCTTTAATATGAGTCGTGATGTTACTCAAAAGACGTGTTGGAGGCTTCAGATAAAATTATCAAATACTACTTGAGGTACACGGATATGAAGTCCTTGTTAAACTTTAAGTGATTCCACAAAGACACAAACACCATCAACATCACACCGTTACTTTAACAGCCACTACTTTCACGTGAAACTAACATTTTTTCTGCCATACGCTTGTTTCAAGTTAATACTGTTGCCATGGAAACAAAAGTAAATAAGTAACAGTAAGTAATAATGGGCAACGCAACTTTATTTGTTTACCACATTTTATACAACAGGGCAATTCAATTAGCTTTTACAGGGTAATAAAAGTACAGCAAAGAGAAAAGATTTCCAATTTGAACAACAGAATTATAAGTAAACAATTGCAGTTTTAATCTGTTGAAAATAAAAAAAATACAAAACAATCCCACATTTAGACGCACAATTTTAATTTTTTTTATTTAAAACTAATTCATGTAATACACATTAAGGCTGCTTAGAAGCTTAACTAAGCTAGTTTTTTTTGCTATTACTGGCTAGAGTAAGCAGTGTAAAATAAGACTTTACTTTGACTTAAAAGAGGGCTGAGTTTACTCGTGTTGCACGATCACAGAATGCTGTTTCATGGTGTTTTGTTCTTGGAACAAATCAGAAGGCTAATCCCAGCTGTACTAAGGGTTCTAGGAGGTTCATAGAGCACAAGACTATATAAGTTAACAGTTATTGTTAACTTATTATTGTTATAGTTATATGAAGGATATCTTTACATCAAAATATTGACATCTCATCTTTGCTCTATAGGGCAGCCGGGCTCAGGGTGAGGAGCTCGGACATCCGGAGGGAGCTGCTGCTTCTCCGCATCAAAGGCTACATTCACACTGCAGGCCTCAGCACTCGATTCAGATTTATTGCTTTAATCGCTTTACTTTTTAAATGTGGCCCATATCAGATTCCAGTGTGCCGAAGTGGGCCGCATGATGAATATCAGTCTAGAGTGACGTAATAAGTCACATGAATTCTGATATGTCTGTTC